TCATCTAAGAATGACTTCTTCCTGAAACCAGTTTTTATTGGGGCCCTTCTCAAGCTTTAAGTTTGTTTCGAATGCATTTTTTTGGTTCAAAGCCCAATAAACATGGAAATACCTACAAAAGCCACCAATTTTTTCAATGTCTTTGTTAGAATGGATTTAACTCCAAGCTTTAGCAGCACATTTAGCCCGTGCAGATCCTCCCTAGCTCTTGCCCTAGTGCTTACAAGCTACCCCAGCTTTCTTCTCCCATGTTTTCACCTTCCCTTACCCTCCTCAAAGAGGTCTCCACACCCACCAGGTACCACATGGAGGTACTCACAGCAGCAGGCCTTTCCCTTTCAGGGGAATTACTCTGTGCTTTCTCATCTCTGGCATCTGCGTCTCTGCAAGGTGACGAACTTCTAGGACGTTACCTCAGCACCCGATCCCAAGCACTTTTACTAGGAATCCTGCATTTGTTTGCAAAACCTGGAGACCTGGTTGATTTTTAGATGAAAGCAATAGCTCAACACCTTTCTTCCACCAACCTAGAGAGCCCACCTTAATTATCACCATCATTAGCAGCAAACTTTCATTGGCTGCTTCTGCCTCACCCACCTCTTCAACAAACCATTCTCCTTCAAGAGCTTCCTCCTTTAGCAGAAATCCCTAAAGCTACTAGAAGATCCTTGAGGCCATCTCCTTCAGAGCAAACACTTCTTTGCGTTCAGGATGTGATCCCATAACCCACCCAGACAATCTTATTCTTATCTTCTAGATGCTCTTGCCAAAGCAGCACCTGAGAACGGGGCCCAGCCCAAACTGGGGAAAGAACCTCCAGTATTTTACAAGCCCAAGTGCAACCAGGAATAGCCTCCAGGGAGATGCAGAGGACAAGGCAGATGCTGAACTTTTCCTTTCCTCTACAGCACCAGCCCCCCTGTGAAGGAAAAGCAGTCACACTCTTTCCGTCCCAGAAATGAGTAGCCCCTACGAAACACATGAAAGAGGGACAGCACTCTACGAGCTGCTGCAAAACCAGGCTGAGCTCAGACCTCAGTTGCCTACAGGATTGACATCTGCTGGGACATCAGCAGAGAAGCACCTGGTTGTGAATCAATCAAGGTGAGGTGAGAACCAGGTAACTAGTTGCTCAACTCTATCAAGCTGAGGTCAGCTTGCTGCACGTCCAGCTGTGCTGCTCAAAAGGTACATGGGAATTTTAAAGTAAAACTTACATTTATATATTTGAAAAATGAGGCAGCTATAGAGTTTAAACATTGCCAGAGTTTGGCAGCAGCTAATTGCAGTCCTGAGAATCTGGAACTTCCCAGGTTGAACTCTTCCTAAATCGCTATATTAAATCTTGTGCTTACTTTTGACTCCATTTCTAGAAGGTCTCTGAAAAATGGGCAATCTGAAAGACTCCCATCAATTACACCGGATGCAAGACTTGCTAAAAAAAATTAAATTATTTTAATTCAGTTTAGTTAAGTGGCAATTGCTACGTTACATAAATCTGTAATGTTCTTTAGACACTGCTTTCTATAGCACTGGCCTGAGATTCTTCTGAATTTAATGATAATGAATGTTTATATCTTACAGCGTTGAGTGCACAGGGAGCACTAGTGACCGCTGGCCCTAGAGGTTTGGCCCAGCATTGCCACTCGAAGTGCAATGCTTTTGAAAAGAAACTTGGCACTGGGAAGGTTCCCCACCAGCAGCTATAAAGGACTGAGTTTGTCCTCCAGCACCCCCGACCAAGAAGGATGGTTTCACCAACCACCAAGCCCATCCAGCTTTTGCAGCAGGGCTGAGGGCAATCCCTCAGGGCTCCTTCCCTGACGTGGTGTTTGATGAAGGTGCATCCGACGGGACAGATCAGCCCCCACACAACCCAACTGGGGAGAACACGCACACGTTCCCCACTCAGCGAAGCCTCCAGCTCCCGAACACAGCCCAGGCCTGGATGGGAGCTCACGGATGTGATTAAGTCCTGGGCTTCAGGCTTCGCTCTGGGGCTGGCACAGTTGCACAGACATTAAGTTGCACAGTGGCACAGACAGGCGTGTCCATGGGGTGGCCATGCAAGTGTCAGGGGCCACCTCCACCTCCGCGGTGTTCAATGAATACAACTGTGTCCATTGCTTGGTAAAATATAGCTTTTATTTGTTCATACAAATAGTATGAATTATCAGAATTTCATTTTCCTAGAAACTTCTTTCTCTGTGTAAAATTAATTTGTGTTGTACATACCACAAAATACTCGATTTACATTTTTTTTTCAGATTTTCTTTTTTTGTGGGTTTTTTTGTTTTTCTTTCCATTTTGTTCTTTTTTCTTACAAATTGGCTACTCTATAGTACCATGTTACAGACAACACATCACTAATACCTGTACTGCACTTCTGAACACAGGACTGAATGAAACTCAGCCATAAATTAATGTTACAATGTGAAGGGGAAAAAAAAAAAAAAAAAAGAACTTCTAATCACACCTCCAAGCTTAACTTCAAAACAAAGGTATTTTTTTCAAAATTATGACAATAGCACTGATTCCTGTATTAGCAACCGGATGTACACCACGGGAAATTCATCTTCATCGTCCTATTTCTTAGGTAAGGCCTTTACATTAAAAGTCTAGTGCAGACTTCATTATGAAGGATACTGAGCCAGGGCTAACAATTTGCTTACGGTTAGAAGAGTTATTATTCGCTCTCTGTATTTCTACTCCCCAACAAGATTGCTTCATGAGAGCATTTTGCAGGAGGGCTTGATTATACAAATTAAGCCCACACTCCGCTGTACAGCTGAGGAAGGCATTGGGATATTAAAATGTTGTTTCCAAGAAAGCAATAAGGAAGACGCAGGGGCTGCGCAATCTTCAAGCATTCAGAAGCAGGCATGCACAGGCGCTCCGGAGGGAACCACGTGGGGAGGAAGCCACGCCAACGGCGCCGATCCCAGAGGCTCTGGCCACGCAGCGGAAGGACTCAGCCAGCAAAACCACTTGGGAAAGCAGCGCAGTGGCAGCTGGGAGCTTACCCAAAGGCCAAGGGGAGAGGATGAGTTTCTTTCTACACATTGCATAAAACAGCTAGTAGGAAGACTGAAGTTTTGAGACCCAAAAATCTTTTTCACCAGGAATTATTTTCTTCACTCTCCCACCCCTCATGCCCTGCAGCCCTTTCCCCTTGGTCACAACAGCAGCAGGGGGTTGTGATAAAGCAGACACACTCGTGTGTTCATCACCTGTCCCGGCAGCAGGGAACAGAGCTGGGGACCTGGCTGGAGCTAAACCCAAAGACCCCGAACATGCACAGATCCAACCACCACTTGAGGCTCGCAGCCTTGTCTCGCAGGACAGGAATCATGTGTGTGGTCTGTCAATCTGCGCAGCCCAGCGGGTCCCACACTCACGCCTGTGACCTCTAGAAGTGGGACCATGTCAGTCTGAAGAGTTGCTTTATTGCTAGAAATGCTTCAGGGCAAAAAGGAGAGCACTCGCCCATCTCTACCTGTTTGCAGGAAGACGTGCTTGGAGGCAACCCCCAAGGTGGGATTTGCATCCCACTCGCAGCAGGTTTGCTAGGCAGCTCATTGCTGATATTACGCTCAGCATCTCCCTTTCCTTCAGGACACCCCATGTATGAACCCCCACATACCTCACCACCACTTACTGGGCTGTGACCCCCTAAATCCCCTCAGAGATGTGACACCACTGAGCCAAGCCAAGAACCCTTAGATTCAAACAAAGGACTGAAGGGCAGCACTTTACCTACAAATGCCTCCAGCAGACCCAGAAGTGAGTCCTGCTCTTCGCTGTATCCACCTGAGCAGGGCCTTGCTGCCATCTTGCTCCAAAAATGTTCAGTTGGGCTAACAGAACCTCTGACAGTAACCATAAGGCATCGGACACACATGGCATTTATCAAAACCTCCTGAGCACACAAAACATGGTTGGTGCTCTCAGGAGAGCCCTGCCAAGCTGTCCTAATGCCCCAAAGCATTTGGTTCCACCCGAGGGGAAGGATCTCCAGGTGACTGTACCTGGGTTGATGGTTAAGTGCTCAAAGCCTCCTGTCCTGCCTGGCTGTCACCAACACCCCAACCCCCGTAAAGCCCAGACTCCCCCCTCCTTTTCTACAGATTCATCCTCATTGGCAAAGCAGCACTTCTTCCTGGGTCTAGGCAAATGCTGGTCTTTGGGAGAGACCATGGGTAGGGTGTTGGACCAAAAAGTAATGGACATGGAGGGCCAAGGCTGATGTTCCCCACTCTCATGCACTGGGGGCTGCTCTGATGGCTGCAGAGCTGGAGGTAGAACTGCCTGCACCATGTCCTGGGACACCCTCCATGCTGGGATGGCACCAAGTAGACACCTGGGGTTTTCACGAGGCTCTGTCAGCACCTCTGGTGGGTGGTGCTGCTCCCACACCGCAGGCACAGCCATCTCCCTGCAGCGCCCTGCGTGCATGGGCACCCCCTGAGCGACGCCTCAGACCAGACCAGCACCAAGCATGTCACACACAGACACATGTATTTTTACATTTGTCCTGCAGTAAAGGTTTAAAATGCATAGCGGGATTGGGGGAAAGAGCCTCTTTGACACAAGGCAAGAAGGAGGAGACAGCTCTGCCCATGCAGCAGGCTCTGCGGCTTCCCTGCTGGAAATCGAGCACGTTCCCCTCCCGGCAGAGCCCTGGGCTGTGGGGCAGGAGCTGTATGGCTTGGGGTTCCCCACGCTCGACAGCCACCCGTAAAGCACCCTGCTGCTCAGCAGAGGTATGTGGGTTGCAGGGACATGTCCAGCCTCCCTCCCCACCCATCCCAGAGAAACCCCCTGGGGCTGCAGGACTAACTGGAAAGCTGTGGGACAAGGGAGCACAACACTGGAGCAGAGACTGGGACACCGGAATAGGGAAAGCAAGTGTTTATAAAGGCCAGATACCCGTAACAAAAATAAATTTATGCTTTCCCTCCCTCCCCACCCCTCCCCTACCACCCTTGCTTTTTTTGATTTTTTTAAATACAAATTTTGTTTAGGAAAAATGGAAGCACCGTCTGTTACAAACCAAACCAAGAAGAGGAGAAAACAGAATGAAGAAAAAAAATAAAAGGAGAGACATATTAAAATTAAACACTGTGGAATGTTAAACAGGTTATGGGCTACCATTCTAGCCAGTGCGGTTAGGCAGCTTAGTGAATTAATTGCTTAGGAATTAAAAATAAATTATTATAAAATAGATTTCTGTACATTTTACATACATATATATCTCTTTATATACGCAAACCGTGCTGGGCGAGTAATTACAGAGGACTTTCCCACGCCAGCCTCAGTCCCAGCCAAAGTCCTGCCCCGTCATCTGGTAGAACTTCATGTTGAAGGGCCGGTAGAAGTCCCGCAGTCTCTGCACCACCTCCTGGTCTATGTCGGGGTGGGTCCTGCCTTTCGTCTTCCCCAGGCAGTGGGGTTTGCTGCTGCCTTCCGCCTTCTTCAGGCACGGGAACCCCTTAGTTTTGTTGAAGTAGAAGTGTTTGTCGGTGATGATCCTTTTGAGGCCCAGAAAGTCCTGGACCCTGCCCAGCTCCCCCGCGGGGTCGCTGATCAGCCTCTCCCCGCTGACAAAGAGGATCTGCCCGATGGGGAAGTAGAGGAGCCAGTTCTCCAGGTGCTTGGCGTAGATGCCAATCTGGATGGCGCTCCACGAGGTGTCGATCAGGCCCGTAGTCCTGTTTTTGAAGGTCAGGCTCTCAAAGGTGGGGATGTCGGGCTTCTTGGAGAGCGTCTGGGTGTAATCCGAGATGGCTCTGGTCACAGGGTCCCGCACCACCACGATGAGCTTTGTGCC